TGGATGGATGGATGGATGGATGGATGGATGGATGGATGGATGGATGGATGGAAGAAAAAAGATGAAAGATGGATGGACAGAAAATTATAGATGGAAAAATTAATAGACTGATGGATAAAAAAGGATGGATGGTCAGATGAATGAGATGGATGGCTGGAGAGATGGATAAACTAAGGGAAACGTAGACAGATGGTTGGATGGATGGATGGATTGATGGATGGCTTTAAAAGAGGGTGAATAAACTAAGGGACCGAACAGACACAGTTCTATATTCCTTATTCTTTAAATATCCAATCAGGATCTCTCTGTATTTCCCATTCTCTCAGTAGGAACGCTGTTGGTCGCCGATCTAAAGAGCCTCTAAGTCTGGTTATCGGTGGATGGATATCAGGACAGCTGGTCGCTGCTTAGGATAGTATTACCTCTTTTGGCACTTGGGATCTGAAGGAAGAAGACTGGGGGGACATGCTGCTGCTGGACAGAACCTTACTGTGCTTCCTGTGAAGAGGAGAGGCGACACCAGGTCAAACCATGTGCCACTAATCAGCTAAACTAGCAGGCAAATCTGATTACAGCTCTCAGCCCCTGCTGCAGCCGCAGAAGGGTCTGTCTGAAAAACCCGAGCGCAGTCAGGAGACGTCACCTCTCAAAGGGGACTTTCTTCAGCTCTGAATCCTTCATGTGGTCGATGATCTGCTTCTGCGTTCTTCCACTGACAGAAAAAAAGGTGATACAAGTTAGCGAATCTGGATCTAAGGTTCAAAGAAAAACAGAAATCAACATATTTTAGGTGCAATCTCACCTGAACCGGAATGAGGAACCCCTGGTGAAGAGGATGGGCTTGGGTTTAGGTTTAGGCTCCTCGAAGAGTCGGAAGAAGGCGTGGTATTCCACGCAGATCTTCCAGAAAACCTTGCAGCAGTCCCTGCTGGCCATGGCGAACTCCAGCGTGTCGTGGTGGGAGTTCTGCTGGAGAGCACAGAGATAAAATAAGCAAAATATTGAGACCGAGCACAGGCTCAGAAGGACATTAACAAAACCTAAGATCATTTCCTGGAAATATCACATAAAAACACTTTTTTATAAAGTTTTTTTGATAAAGCCAGAGCAAACAAACTTTAATGGACTCACAGCTGGGTCCGCTCTCAGCTTGATGAGGAACCTTTTACGTTTGAAGCTCAGCTTGCGGATCTTAGACCAGTTGAAAGCGTTAATTTTTGTGTAACCCTGGATAAAAGAAGAGGAGAAAAACATTAAAAATGATCCCTCTATCAATGAGACAACAGAAACATTTTGGTACATGCAAGAAAGAAGAAAGGAATATTCGGCCTTAGAGAGCAGGAAAGAAGGTTCTTAGGTTCCCAGCCTCAACTTTGCAGATTAATCACTCAATTAATTCAGTTTAAGACCTAAAACTCTAAACTTCATCATTAAGTTATGTCCAATAGTATTAGGCTAATACTTCTAAGAACAGAATTTATTTGAGGAAGGTGGGAAAACAGGAAAATACAAGGAAGAAAACAAGGTAGGAAGGAAAGAAAAGAGGACAGCACATAAGGAGGGAAGAAGAAATACGGTAATACAAAGGTGCAAGGAATGACAGAGGGAAGGGAGGGGAAAGGAAAAAAAGGAAGGACACCAGATAGGAAGGAAGACGTGTGAGGGCAGAGGAAACAAGGGTGGAAGGATGAGTCACAGGAAAAAAAAAGAGCTGAGACAAAGAAAGAAAGAGAGAAGGAGGAGTCTATAGGAGCTCGAAATGGAGCATAGAAGGAAGAAAGTTAGGAAACACAAAAGGGAGGAATGCAGGAGAGAGGATAGAAGGACCAATATAAAAAGGAGGTAGGAGAGAAAAAAGGATACAAGCTGGAAACAGAAGAAAAGAGAAGAGGTATTATGAGAGATGGGATGGAGGGTTTAAGGAGCAGGACAGTTAGGGGACAAAAAAGGAAGGAAAAAGTAAAAGCATGACACAGGATAGGATGGATGATGCCAGTAAGGACAGAAGAAAGGATAAAATGAGGGAAGGAAACAAGGAAATGCTTGACACCATAAAGAAAGGAAACCTCTGGGATTTTTTTCCTGATTTTTAGACCTCTCTCCGGATTCCTGTTTTACCTGAAACACCAGGACCCCAGTGTGCGACACAGTCAGATTGAGCTTGGTCCCCTCTCGGTCCTTCGCAGGGTACAGACGGACTCCGTACATCTCCAGCCGCCGAGCGATCTCCAGCAGCTGGTAGTCTGACTCCGCAGGAGTCTGTCCGCTGTGGAGGAAAAGCTTCAATCAGTAAATCTCCTATCCAAACCTGCGCTTCCTGCGGCCTCCCTTCAGACAGCGCCCACTCAAAACAAAACGCACCGCTGAAGTCCTGAAACAACCCCAGGATCAGACGGAGGTGCCTGCAGCAGGGCGGAAAGAAATTCGCCACAAAAGTGGTTTGTTTCCTCCCAAAATCTGAGAATAGCTTCCTGTTTCCTGTATGAGCGGCTGAATTAGCCACTTCCTTCCTGCGTGGGCTACGAGGGAGCCGAGGGATTGAAGCGAAGGAGGGAGGGCGGCCGTGAGCAGGCCGGCCGTTTGTTGTTCTCTGCTTATCTCCACTCTGGAGGGGGGAATTTTATAGGAGTCTGCATCTGCAGAAAATAAGGCAATGTGTTTGTTCCGCAGGTGAAAATGTGTCGTCTCAGTGCTGCACTGCACAGACTTTTACAGGTTTCCTTTTTCAGAGACACTTAACAGATACGTGCATCTGTGAAGGGCGGCTAGGGGAGACATTTCTGTGTAGATTTTATTATGTTTTTGGTTGATTATTCAGCTGAAAGACCCTATTATGGCATTTCTGTCCAGTTCAAACACAGAATAAAACAGGCCCACAGCATAATAGGTCATCCGCCTTACTTAACAGAGAAGACAAGATGTTTTGCAGCCTCCCCATATTATTTTAGTTACATTTCTGCTATAGGAAATCTGTTGCCATTTTAAAACAACTGTTTTTACTTTTAGTTTTTAAAACAAGGGAAAGCATTAAAAATTTTATAAGAAATAAGTGTAGATTTTCTCCTATGAGATCATATTTGATGTGGAAAATAAAATGAAGAACAAAAAACATAATTTCTAAGCTAATGTCAAGGAAAATTGGACAGCAAAACCAATTTCTGGTCATTTTAATGTCATTCTATTGTGAAAATGTTATTATAATTTTCTGTAAGACTGGTATTTGCTATTGTACTCTATTCAAAACCATTGGTTGGTTCATTTATAATTTTTAGCCACTACTAAGAGCCATGGTAGAGCCACATGTTGCGGACACTTGATCTTTTTTTTTTTCCAGGCTTTTATTGTCATTACACTGTCACAGTGTTCCCCAATGCTCCCCACGTGGGCTGCCATTGTGTGGGGTTAAGGGCCTTTGCTCAGGGACCCAGAGTGGCAGTCAGTGGGAGTGGGGCTTGAACTCAGAACCTCTGAGATCCAAGTGCAATGCCCTAACCCTTAGAAGGTCACTCCCCTATCTAACAAACAGATATGTCATTTTTATCACATAAACAGAAGGGGAAAAAAACAATAAGTATAACAAATGTTGGAGAAGTCGCTCAGTGCCTCAATTCTAGACCCCTAGAAATTTGCGCCACTGACTCAATCACTACATTTAGGTGCTCTTTTAAAACCTCTTTTCAGACTTTTTTACTCTACATACCCTAATCTGTCGGTCCTATGCTTGTTGACGTTAATGGATGCCAAAGGGACTCACACGTGTTGCCGGTGGCAGTCGATGATCTTGTCTCTGATGGCGTCCTGGTCGGGGAGGTACTTGTTGTGCAGCAGGTGCTGCCAGCTCTGCATCTCATCGAAGTCCCCAATCTCCGCTGGTGGGATGAAAGCAGGAATTCTGATTATCTGGACTAGAAACAATGGATTCTTCTCCATGCAACAAAACAATAGACAGATGGATGCAAAACAAAGGTAGTTTGTATTAATGGAGATATATATATATATATATATATATATATATATATATAGCATGGGGGAAAAATATTTGTTGTTCCAAACCATTATACTGTTATTTAACCTTTTTCCAAACAAGAAAATCCTTAAATCAAATCTTGTAACCTTTAATACTGATTTGTACGAACTGCTTTTGGAAAAACCCATTAAAGTTGTTATGAGTCATGAGTTATTTATGGTCAGGTATTCAGAGAAGGAAGCCTTTTAGGGTCACAATTCTTCAATGGAGACTCAACCACCTTCTGATTTCAGCTTCCTTTGGTAAAGATGCAGGAATACACAAGATTTGTAACAAAGAGTCCTTTTTAATTACTGTTGGTATTCATGATCAGAGAGACAAAACTTGACATCTGCAAGAAAGCTCCACCCAACTCACACTGAATGATGTGGGAAACCATGAGAGCTGAGCTGGTGTCGTTGCAGATAAGATGACCGCAGGCCAGGTCTCGCTTAATCTGCAGCGCAAACAGATACCTGGAAAACGAGAGGAATAAATATGAAAGGACAAGTCAGAAATGCATTGCTACATATTTACATACATATATACATACATACACAGATATCAGATTAGATCTGAAATGGTCTAAGACAATCTAAAATAAATGCAAAACACAATGTCTGATTTTTTTAACTGTTTATTTGTATGATTCAGCTGCAAATAAGTATTTGAACACCTGTCTATTGGCTAGAATTCTGACTTTCAAAGACCTGTTAGTCTGCAATCAAAACGTTCACCTCCACTCTATTTATTATCCTAAATTAGATGCACCTGTTTGTTGTCGTTAGCTGCATGAAGACACCTGTCCATCCCATAAAATCAGCAAGAATACAACTACTAACATGACCAAGACCAAAGAGCTGTCCAAAGACACTAGGGACAAAATCGTACACCTCCATGAGGCTGGAAAGGGTTATAGGAAAATTGCCAAGCAGCTTGGTGAACAAAGGTCCACTGTTGGAGCAATCATTAGAAAATGGTAGAAGCTTAACATGACTGTCAATCTCCCTCAGGCTGGGGCTCATGCACGATATACATACATATACATATATATATATATATATATA